TTAATTTTTAAAAATAAAAAAAAAAAGTATCATATAACTAAAAATTATATAAATTATTATCATTAACAAAAAAACCATTTGTTGGAAAAATTCATGATGAAATTTTTAAGGGAAAATAAATAAAAAATTACAGATTAATTAGTCGAATTTACTTTTTATCGTGCTCTTATAGATGGATTATTTATTATATAGATTTATCGGAACATTAATATATATATGATACACGTCATCTAAGTAGTAATTCTGCCTCGATAAATAGCGTGGTAAAGAGCTTAAACAAAACCAACACAATGGTGACATAATTTCCGCAAGTATTGTGTAACCTACATTCGGAAAATTAAATAAAAATGTTTATTATTATTATTATTATTATTATTAGTATTTGCATTGAATAAAAGACAAATTGATCTTTTGATTTAATTTTAAATCTAATTTTTAGATTTTTAGACCGTTAAAAATTTTAAAGTTGTTTCTTTATCTTTTTGAAGAAAAAGTTTAGCAAATAACTAACATGAAATAATAACTGTCTTGATAACGTTTATTTATTTGTTTGTTTGTTTATATTATTAACGTATATAAAACTGGTTGTAAATTTTTTCCGTCGCAAAATTTTTTAAAAGGAAAATATATTTTTAATATAAATATGGATATAATTAAAATTTTCTGTTTAAAAACATTTCACTTGATTGATATTTCGTCAACAAATTTTTTTAAAAAAATGTCGCTTAGATCAAACGAGCAGCTAATTTACGATCGATCGATTGGATCTTGTTATCCACAGACTCACATAAATTCACAACCATTGGATATAGTAGATACACAACTTATAGACACACTACTTGTTGTCAAACATCCACAACAGACTTACATAAATCCACAATCGTTGACTAAGAATATAAATCCACAATTGTTGACTAATAATATAAATTCACAATCAACGGATAATAATATAAATAGAGGGATTTTAAATAATAGTATAAATTCAACATCACTGGATGATAATATAATTCGACAATTTTTTAATGAACATCCACAACAGACTCACATAAATCCACAATTGTTGATTCATACACCAAGACTTTCTCCAATACCTTATTTATCTTCATCTTTCGATGATGATATTCATACAATACATAAT